GTTTGAACCAGCGTGAAGTGGAGGCGCAGGCTGAGAAAGCGAACGCCCAGAAGGCGGCGGCCGGTGAGCGACGTGCAGAAGTAGAGAATGGTCGTCTCCGTGATGAAGTGAACCGATTACGTGCAGAGTTGCTTGAATTAAACGACTCAAAGGTGAGCAACAGATTTCAATTTCCCTACTTAGTTCGCTTTCTGAAAGGGGACTGTGGGAGTCAGATATATGCAGTGTGTATATCGGCATCCGGTACTAGTTATGTAGCTACACAGGATTTTTTGTTTTCTTTTTTAAGAATATTCAAGTCTATACATGCAATATAAACTGGATGAGCGATCGGCTTTATCCAGACAAATGTGCCTCAAGGGAGAAATGGTTCTACTTGATTTTCTCTTTGCTGTTTTGTAGTGAACCAGACGCATATGGGAAGTAGATTTGTTTTGCATGCCTTGATCGATTGTTTCATTCCCATGCAGTGTTGTTTTTCAGGACCCCAAATCTGCACTTCGGTCTTTTCAACTTTAAGTAAATCCATTGTAAATTGGAGCGAATCCAACCAATCGCATTCCACGGGAACCCCACAAAATGATTGGTAGAAAACTTTACCCTACTTTAACTTACTACCCCATAGAACACTCAGTACAGTATGATCATGGATAACTGCAACTCTTTCTCATCACCATCTATCTGTTTCATTCGCTAAAGTATATGGATGGCTCAGATGCAATCAGGCTGTGAAAATATGCGACGGGTTGATCAGCGGTGCAGTAGGAACAAGAACCTATGCGACGAAGCTATGGATCGAAGGGTCACAGATTGTTTCCACTGGCATTGCGGACTGAATGCATTAGTCATCCCGGGAATTGCAGAGATGAAGGCAGGAACCGCTAGTTCCTAGACCAAGTCATTTATAAACAGCAGAAAGAGCATCGGGCCTAGCACTGAGCCATGATGCAGTCCACTGGATACGCTGCCAACGTTGGACAGATCTTCTTCCACCCGAACTCAGGTTGTTTTCGCCAGATTTACTAGCTTGTTTGTATAGTTTCCCGCCTTCTTATATTGGAGACGTCGGATGCAATTGGTTGGATTCAATTGAAGTTACAGCCGATTCACTTGATTGTTTAGAACAGACCTTTTTAAAGACCATTTAAAAGACCTTATAGGCCAATTTCGTTTTAACAGAAACGGACATGTTTCACTGGTGCAGTACTGTCAAGCCTTAGCAGTTGGGAATTTATTCTCGATAACTATACGGACAATGTGGACAGAGCACAGCAGAACGAAGTCCAGTAAGGTAGCAACGTAAGAGGTATGAATGACGGTTCTAAAATCATACGGTAACAATAGTAAGGGAGTAAATGTGACTTACAGCCAGGTGAACAATGAAATTACATAGCAGTAGTAACAGTCTGTGACAGCCATGGTAGGCGAGGCGTAACAGTAGCGCAGCAGTGAAATTCAAGTTGGAATAGGTTGCGATGCGGTATGGACAAGGTTTGCCATGCACTTTAGTCTCAGAAGAGAACGATACAGAGAAAGATACAAAACATTTAGATAGTGCAGTAAATGCAGGAAAATTGGAACGCGATGCCAACGGGTGGCGTTGATGAACAGTATACATAGGAAAGGACAACAGGATGATAAGAAATGAACTTCACGTAAAGCGTGCACGGATGTTGTCTGTATTAGCCGGTCGGGGTTCTATGGTTGGGTCCTTTGTGGCGATGGATTTTCACTCACTGAGCAAACGTTCAGAAAATTTTTATCTCAAAGAAAATATGCAATTTATTGAATATATATGTTATAATCATGGCATCAAAGGACCGTCAAATACTCTCGAGGAATACACAAATATCAATACTACAGGCCCCTTCAGATGCAAAAAAGGAAGTTTGAGAACAAAGAAATATTACTCATAAGTAGTCTGATGCAAATGGCTTAGAAACTTTGAGTCACGAACAGCAATCACGGGGTGCGTTCCAGCCTAATTGGGGCTTAGACACACAAACAATGGGTGATATGATTGACTGATCTGAGTAATTGAGCTCAGGTGGTCTCTCAATCGCTGTGTACATCTTGTTCAATTCCATTCTGTCTTTATTTTCCTACCGTTTCGCGGAATTTTACTTCATACACATCCCAAAGACAGCAACCAAAACCAACACACTGAAGTATACGGTGAAACCGAGATAACTCTCAACTCATATTGCATATATTATTCGGGAAAAATAAATTTAGCCAATAAAAAATCAAAATAGCCTAGCCTCGACAATAACAAGAACAACAACAACAAGCGGGATTGCCAAACGGATAGAACAAAGTGTAGGAAGCTGAAAAAAATGTGCAGGACGTCACGAACTCGTATTGATTTCGTCTCTGGGTCTCTGGGGCCAAAATCATTGGTGTTAATAGATGGTGCCAAAATTTTGGAATACATTGACGTAACAAGCGGGCTCGCTGGCAATCCAGGAAACACTGAAAGCAGCTAATCTCTGCTCTCTTCTGAACGATATTAAATTCAACGCACCAAAGTGTAAGGTTCTATCTCTACGACACAAGGGCGATTTTCGTATTTCCTCGGAAATGAACAACTGCCTCACACTCCGAGTGAGAAGGACCTGGGCATCATCATTTAAGAAAAATTAAGTTGCTCACCCGACTGCGTCAGGGTGTCGAAGGCAGTTGTAAATAACGTCAGTTTGCTTAGGCGTGTCTTTGGCCGGTTTCAGTCAGCCCTTTTCCCCCGTCTGCTATCAGCATACTTTCGCCCACTCACAGAGTACGCTATCCAGGCATGGAGTCCATGGGTACAACGTGATTGCGGAATGCTTGGGCGTCCACAAAGGATGACCACCAAAATGGTTAGGGGGTTAAATCGTTATTCACACGCGGAGAGGTCGAAGTCGCTGGGGCTATATTCTAATCAGTACCGGCCAATAGGAAGGGGTATGATAATGGTATAGCAAATAATGCAAAACCCAAGCCATCCGTGTCGTCCGCTGCTAAAATTATCACCCAAAATTCATCTCATAGGACATTCGGTCAAAGTAGTGGTCTCAAAATGCCGATTGGAATGTCGACGTCAGCCGTTCGCAGTCCGAGTGTGTTCTGAACTCTCTCTCTCACTCCACGTCGTCTGTGCACCAAGCATTGAATCTTTGAGACTGAAACTTGATGAAGCATCAGCACACCCTGGATACCAACATACATTTTTACACAGTAAATGGTATTCATCACTCGCTTTTAATAACACAATACGAGAAAAGCATGAGCTTGTAAGTTATTCTCATGATAATACTTTGAAAACTCTGAACTTTACATGCATGAAAGTTTCGTGTTACAGAGTCGAGTGAAATCGGTAGAAATGCATTTGCTCAACTCTACTTGAAAAGGTTCGTTGCAGATTATTTAGAAAGTTATTTCGAATTCACCGTTGATATATCCTTGAAAAAAGAGTGCGTATGAGAAATATCACTAGGAAGAAACTCAATAAAATCAATCCGGATGAAGTCATTAGTAAGGCTTACAGTTTGTATGAGAAGAGGTATGTGAATACCGGACGTGGCATGCAATGGGCTTGAACAGTATTCGCTGTCAGGTGCAATACGGTCGACCTTGAAAAATGAACAACGACCAAGTTGTTTTAGATGGATGATTACACGAGACCATGGTTCTAACGATTTCGAATGACGCTAGGCGTTAATTTGGCATGGGATTAGCATTGATGTTCATTGGCCACCAGGATGAATCAACCGTTCAGTGTTCTCGGTCGACCACGACTCAATGTGACCACGAACAGCAGCACTTCGGTTTTCAAATTATCTTGATAAAGGTTACTCCTGGTAACCAAAACATTGACTTATTTTCACCCGTATCGTCATCACTGTCTATTTCACAATTGCAACTTATAGAGCATCGATTTTTCGATACACTCCGAACGTCGTTCGGACCTGACACTATGAGCACTTCAGTACATTTTGAAGCTTTCGGGCTCAACTTATAAGCGTCCGAACATTCATAACTTTGTGTCATTACTACTTTTCAGGTTGAAAAATCGATATTCTTTATATTTTTATAGTTATATGATGCAAATAGTAATTGGGCAGAGAAGTAGTATATATGTTGGAATGGAACTTTGTGAAACCAAAACACAGGTTGATTAACTATAGTCCCCGGAAGGATGTTATCAATTTACCATGCCAGAGGAGAAGTGTTCGAATTAATTCAGATGGTCCATGTTTCGATTAGCCCATTCGGATTCTCACAGGCACTTGATGATGATTTTCGGTGTGGGTTTCACTCGTTGGGAGATCGGTCATTCCCCACTATTTGAATGCATCTGGAATTAGGTAGAAATGTTTGTAATAATCGACAAAGAGTTCACTGGACCGTGGCTGTTTGGTCCTGTTTGAGACTCGTCAGCAATGTGTGCCTTTTGTTCCCCCAATCGGGACCCGAATCGCAAACGTTT